GCACTTCAAACTACCTATGTGGATGTCACCCATGTTATCTGCCATTCAGCTGCCAAATTTTTCCTAAAACTGTTAGTGATTAACTCTTTGCACAGTCCTGGTTCATCTTGTTCTATTTCAATGTGCTCCCCTCAGCTCATTCATAACCACGACAGGAGTGGATTTATCTAAGAGCTCAAAGGCTGGATAGGGACGGTTGATCTGGTACCCTACACACCGCATCACTAACACAGCATGTGCCAGGATTCCAAAGAACCACGCATACAAGGGGTTCACCCTTTTCTGGATTAATGTCAATTTATTTAACTTTAATGGGAGCTGCTGGCTATGCGGTATTCTGAAAAAGCAAGCTGCGTATTTAGGTGCATAAATGTGGACTGAGAGGCCTAACTTTAAACACCCATTTTTCAAGGTCTGGCCTTAGTCTTTTCCTGCACTCTCTTGTTGAGAGCAGATGCCTGCTGTGTGTATTGAGATTAAGCTGCTCTTTTACACATTTATCTTCTGCTGCAATCCACCAACTTCTACCTTTTCTGCTTTTCTGGCCTGGGGTTAGCATGATCTAAGGCCAAAAATCCCTCTCCTTGGGGGAGAAGCTAGAGCTCGGGAGGAGAAGAGCTGAAGACTTTTTTGGCTTTATTTTTTATATTTTCTAGCCTTTTAACTTTTCTTTTCCCTTCTTGGGAGGGGAAGGATGATCACTTGGGGCTTCCAATCACGAAGATATGGCAGAGAGGGAGCCTTGAGCCCCTGCATTCTTTTTGTCCAATATGAAATCGGAAAAGATGCATAGGGAGTACATCTCAGAAAGAGCTCAGATCTTCCTCCTGGGAAGAGAGTCAGCAAGGATTCCTTGCCAAGTGACTACTACCCACTGGAGAACCTGGGAGATGGCCCTGGAGCTTATTCAATGTGGGATGGATTAGGCGGGGAGATTTTTGGACCTACCCCTACAGAATCCTTGGCTGGAGAGGATAAGCCAGCCTGTTGAGTCTCAAGTACTGAAGAGGACTGACCTGCCCTTGTGGGAGTATCTCCTGAGGAGTCTCTGCTTTTTTGAGGGGGCGGGGGGAATGCAGAGGCCCCAGCAAGTCATCCAAACACACGGTCCTTTGCCATGGCCAAGCATGGATCCACAGGCTGGGAGCAATTGTGGCAAAATACCCCTTCTGTGGCTCCCGAGAGCATCTGTTCATGGGTGGAGCAGGTTGTGGCCCTGGGTGTACTCTGCCAAGCTATGTGGAAGAGTCTACTCACCGCAGACACACTCCCTCGTTGCTTGGCATGATGCAGTGGCTCTCCTCCTTCGGCGCCCCCTCCCGACAGCTGCTCTGGACCTGCTTTGATCTGCCTCTTCCTGTGACTTGGCTCTTCGGCCAGGTCAATAACAGTCCCACCCTTTGCAGCATGCCAATGGTTCGGCCCAACTTCAGGCTTTTGGGGCCTGCCAGCCCTTGGCTCCAGAGTCGTCATGCCCCCTGCCCTAGTAGGGGAACCAAGGCCCGCCCTCTACCCTCTGTTCCAGCCCCAGGGGCTCTGTATTAAGCAGAGGAGGAGTGTTCAGACCCCCTGCCGTACATCTGGGCTGCTTCCTACTGTGGCCGGGCTTTTCTCACAGTCTCTGCCCCGGCTTATTCTTCTGTTGGTCCCAAAACAAAGGGCAGCCCAAACTACTTATGAGAGACAAAAAGGTCCTGTACCAGGCCTACCTGTCCCAAGGAGGCTCTAGCCCCAGCCTAGCCTTCCTTCCTTCACAGGGCTAGCTCAAAAGGTCTACTCCCTCTCCCAGTCAGCCACCACTGAGCTAGGCTTTTCCTCTGTCTCCCGCCTTCAGGCTTGAAACCTTGCACAGGGGAACTGGGTGGGGCTGACTGGGGCCAGAGGCTCTGATTATCCCCTTCCTGGTCACTGAGGTCTGTATACTTCATCACAAGCTGGGATTGCAAATTCCTTCAGTTAATACTCTCAGGTGGTGTTAGTTAACACCGGGAAGCACTTTAAAAAGGTGTTTTTATTTTGACAATATTCCTTTATTCTGAAATTCTGAGCCTTTACCTTCCTCTTCTGTCATTTTGGCCTCGTTCTGATGTATCTGTAAAAACCTTATGTTCTTCTTACTTGATAAAAAAAAGGGGCTAGGAGAGGAGACAAAGAAGCAGATCGTGTTTTTCCATGGGAAACCAATTTTAAATCCTTAGCTCACGACCCTGTCGGCTAAATTACCTGTCCCTCCCTCACCTCCATATGATGCCGAGGATGACTCTAGAGCTGAATAAGGATACTCAGACCGGCTTGAGTTAGAGGCAAAGCGTGGGCATACTCTGTGTACATTTTTCCCATGCGGCTCTGCTCCTAAGACAGACACTAATGTTGGGCCTCTCTCAAGCAGGGACTGCAAGTCTGCTAAAACCTGGCCAATTTTTGTGCAAGAGAAAGAGAGAGATGTGGCAAATGGAGACGAGGAGACCAAATATGCTTATTTCCACTTGTGATCTAAACAACATTTGAACCTAGGACTCCAGAAGCCTAGTGAACTAACTACTAAGCTCCCTCGATCAGCTGGCTTTACAGAACAGAGGAGGGTAAACCTGATTAGCTGTCTGTATCATGGTCAATTCAAATATATAGGAAACCTAGTTAAAAATACTGAGAAAGAATCATAGTATCTAACTTTTACTAAAGTTAGAAACTTTAAGTTTTGTTTTCTTTTAATGAAATATAAACAGCAGTGGAGGATATTTTAGGTAGCCGGCTAACAGGTGTTATGAGGCCAAAGCTTCCTAGAGAGGGGAAACACCTAATCAGTTGCAGAGTAGATTCCTCTGCGGTCCCCAAACAAAGGATGCATCAGATATTAACCTGGTATGTTTGATCTTAGTCAAATGGCCAAGGTACAATATTATAAGTTTTTAAAACTTCTGAAGAGTAATTTAACAGAAAACTATTCTCATTATGTTTTACCATAAATATTTTAATATCACTCCTTCCCTGAAAACTATGTTAATGACAGTGCAGAATTCTACATTCTCTATTAATTTCTAGTGATTTTAAGGGCAATTGCTATGGAATCCTATTACATTTCTATTGAAATCTACTAGTTTAATCTGTATTAAAGTCTACAGGGCTTTTCCATAAAGTAAAGACTATATCTAAGCTAAATTTAGTTTTACATTTAAAACATCTTTTAGGATCCCATATTCTCTAGAGGGCCTTTGTATAATGGCAGCTGCAAGTTCTGAAGTGTGAAGGGAGAACCGCACCTGAAAGTGATGCTCTATTATTTTTATTTTTAAGGACAAAATCTATTTTAAAATATACATAACAGTAATTTGAAGTCACAATGGCATTTTAAAATGTATTTAAATTCAATTTATTTAAAACAATTTAAAGAAATACTTAACAGTTATCTCACACTCCAGTTATCTCACACACACACACCTGCATTTTTCAAATAGTTTGAGAAGGGAAGGCACCCACTCTTGGGGGCCTACCGTCTTGGTCACCCACCCCACATGGATCATGATGACTGTTAGTGAAACATATGGTTTCAGAGTAACAGCCGTGTTAGTCTGTATTCGCAAAAAGAAAAGGAGTACTTGTGGCACCTTAGAGACTAACCAATTTATTTGAACATAAGCTTTCGTGAGCTACAGCTCACTTCATCGGATGCATACTGTGGAAACTGCAGAAGACATTATATACACAGAGACCATGAAACAATACCTCCTCCCATCCCACTATCCTGCTGGTAATAGTTTATCTAAAGTGATCACTCTCCTTACAATGTATATGATAATCAAGTTGGGCCATTTCCAGCACAAATCCAGGTTTTCTCACCTTCCGCCCCCCCCCCACACAAACTCACTCTCCTGCTGGTAATAGCCCATCCAAGTTGGGCTTGCTTATCATACACATTGTAAAGAGAGTGGTCACTTTGGATGGGCTATTACCAGCAGGAGAGTGAGTTTGGGGGTGGGGGGGCGCGGAGGGTGAGAAAACCTGGATTTGTGCTGGAAATGGCCCAACTTGATTATCATACACATTGTAAGGAGAGTGATCACTTTGGATGGGCTATTACCAGCAGGAGAGTGAGTTTGGGGGGGGGGGGGGAGGGTGAGAAAGGGAGGAGGTATTGTTTCATGGTCTCTGTGTAAATAATGTCTTCTGCAGTTTCCACAGTATGCATCCGATGAAGTGAGCTGTAGCTCACGAAAGCTTATGCGCAAATAAATTGGTTAGTCTCTAAGGTGCCACAAGTCCTCCTGTTCTTTTAGTGAAATATATGTCATTTGTGTTTATGTATCAAACAGAGAAGTGTATGTACATATGCATTCCATCTGTGACAGACCAGTGAACTCACTGACACCCACTGGAGTTCACTGGTCTATCACAGGCCAAATGGGATGATCTCTAAGGGACACTGTTTTTTCTACAATGGTCCCCACTGTAATGTCTCGGCACTGATGGGTTGAGGGGGGGGGGGGGGGGGGTTTCTTTGTATAACTATTATGCACATGCGCTCTAAGATGTAGAATCAGACATCTTGCAAATCAAAATATCACACACACACCCCTCTTGCCCTCACCACAAGTGTTGTTACTTGAGTATATTAGTGAAATATATATTTTGGGCCCACTCCTGTCACTCTCATTCCTTTCATTCCCACCAACTTCCACAGGCATGTAGCCTTAATAAGGATAGCAGGATTGGGCCCTCAGTGTATTAGCATGTGCTTATCTACCCCACACCCATGATTGTTACTCTAATATGTACCTGTGAATTTGACCACACATATGCAAATTTAACACACCCACGGGTACATTTACGTCTGAATTCTACTACTCTTCACTCATAAAAGTGAGAAGAAAAGACAGACAAATGTATCCCTCTTTGCTCTAAGAAATAGCACACGTGATCAGAGCACCTACAGAAACAATCCATAATGCCAGCCAGCAGCTTAATCCCAACATTCCAAACTACCACCACAAAAATTAACTCACCTGTGGAATTTTCTGTTAGACTCCACTTGCAACCTGAACAGTCTGCTGCTAGGAAGCCTGACAATAAAATGCAAGTATAAAATGCTGAACAAAGGGCAAAAATATTGCAGGGAGTGGTATAACCAGAATAGCCCATGTACGGACAAGGAATATGCCCTCTTCACTCCACTTGTGAAGGACAACAACTGAACAGAAGTCATTCTTGCCCTTCATGGAATTAAAAGCCATATTCAGTGTCCACATATGGAGTATCACTAAAATATTAGATACGCTAAGACTATATATTTCTAACTATATTTTACATTACATAAACAGTTTAGGGGCAGGGAGTGTGCAATTATTACAGATGATCCCAGGTATTAATACTCTCTATCAGATCATTAGTGCAAAACCTTTCACCAGGAAGGAGATTTCTTGCTAATATTTAGATCAGTGACATAATCAGGCCACAGAAAGCCTGACAGGCAGGGGCTGCTGTATGTTCCTAACAGCTATGGTCCCCATCTGTTAATGCTCTCCCCTCCACTCCCAGGGAAAGTGTGTGTGTGAGGTGAAAATGAAACAAAACAAAAAACACAAAACAAAACAAAACCAGACAGACACATGACCAAAGATGGATGCCAAACTGGGACTTCTCCACATCCCAGAAAGTTCCTAAAATCCAGGTTCTCTCCCCATCTGACCCACCAGTCACTTTAAACAAAAAAGATAAACTAGTCTTGAATAATTTTTTCAAGTTACAACAGACTTAAATCTAAATGAGTTTTCAAAAGTTAGGGTACATGTCACACTAGGATCACATATGAACACCAGCATTAGCGCACACTGTCGAGCATTTAATACGTGAAGGTATAAAGCAACTATTGTTCAGGGAGTAGAGTAATATGTAACCAGATACTCTCTGGGTTCATCTAAAAGATGCCTTTCCGAGCATTTCACTGGCTTGTTCAGCAGTGAACATATTTCTGCTAACACACAGAGCTACATTCATGGCTGACAAACAGGCCAAGATATGCAGGTTCTTTTCTTCACTCACTTTTGTGTGTGTTAGAAATGGAGTAAACCTGTGTTCATCAGTGCAATAGGCTCGTGTTAACTGTTCCTTATGGTTAATTGAGTGCCTACGGTTGGTTTTACTTTGAACCCCATTTTGATGTGTTTTCTTAGGCCAATCCAATGGTATTTGATTTAAAGGCAGAAGACGGATACTGTAAAATTGCCATCATGAGGTTCTCTATTAATCCTCACTCAATGGCTCTGAGATCAAATTGGCTCAGTTAACCCGCCAAATAAAGTTTTCCTGCCTGTACCGCAAATTCCGTGTGGAATCCAAAAGCGCACCTGGGGCTTGACTCTTCAGTCACCCTTCCGCTATAAAGGACAATTCTGACTGTGGAACATGAAGGAGAGTGAGATAACATCTTTTACCTCACCCACCTTGTCTCTCTAACATCCTGGGACCGACACAGCCCCAACAACACTGTACACAACTGTGGAGCATGCAGCAGACTAGAATCCAGCTCCCTCTCATGGAATTCTACCAGCTCCGTTGGGGTCTTCACTCGGGAACAGAGATGTGTTCTTTTGAGTTTGCTAACTGGAGTCAACTAACGTGAAGTAAAATTCTAGTGAAGGCATGATATGCAAATTGCTTTGTCTTCACTAGGATTTCACTTCATGTTAGTTAACTAACTCGAGTTAAGAACACACTTTTTTCCTTGTGAAGACAAGGTCATTGAGAGAGTCCAAGCTTCCTGCCTTTTCTCCTCCAAAGTAACACCTAAAACTAACACCTATGCCCCCCACCTCCCTTCCAATAAAGCAGTCCTGCTACAATGACCACACACTGTTCTTTGTTCTGTTATGTGCCAGATTGCCACAGCCTATCCTTTCACTGCCTGTAGACAGTACATTTTTAGGGCAGGAGCCTGTTAGCTGTTTGGCACACATTCCCCACTGTACATGTCCTATGCACCTTCAGCACTGTAAGCAATAAATCAGAGTAAACACATGACTCAAAGCCATAGTAGGTGTAGCATAAAGGACAGTTTTTACAATCAATATTTTTTAAAAAGCATTTTCTTGCATTGTGTCTTTGTTGTGTAGCAGGTGGAGACTATTTATTTTTGGTACGCTACTGCCTTTGGCAGATTACTGCTTTTTAACTCTGCATATCTGTTGATAAAAAAGGGTTTAGAGGCTGGGACTGATGACTAAAACATATATTTGTGTGTCATAAGCCACACACATCACAGGTTTTACTGAGTGTGGTTAGCTAGTATGGTACTAAGAAATTCTTGGGCGCGTGTTCACCTCAAGAGGGATCCACACAGACAAATACTCAAAGAAGAATTAAGCAGCCCCTTCCATAAGAGGTCTGTTTGTTCTCTACCTCACGGCAGTGGTTCTGAACCACAGGTACATTTACCTCTGGAGCTACACAGATGTCTTCCAGTGAGTACTCAGCTCATCTAGATCAGTGCTTCTCAACCTGGAGGCTGCAACCACCGGGGGGAGGAGGGGTGAGGTGCGGGATGGCTTTAGGGGTGGCAAGCAGGATCCCACAAAGCTAAGTTTCATGCTTCAGCTCTGGGCGGCGGGACTTGGGCTTCAGACAAGGCTCACAAGTGAAAAACAGGTTCAAGTATCACACTAAAATGTAAGTACAATATTTATATTCCAATTGATTTATTTTATAATTATGTGGTAAAAATGAGAAAGTCAGCACTTTTTCAGTAATAGTGTGCTGTGACCCTTTTGTATTTTTATGTCTGAGTTTGTAAGCAAGTAGTTTTTAAGTGAGGTGAAACTTGGGGTATGCAAGACCACTCCTGAAAGGGGTACAGTAGTCTTGAAACTTTGAAAACCATTGCCTTAAGGGACAACAGAACAGGTTAAAAATTCTGATTGATACAGGAACAGAAAGAAGTAACTCCCAGTGTTGAAAAAATAATTCTGTTATAAATATTGACAGGTAACATTTTCAAAAGCTCAATGTCTTAGAAGCCCAAGTTCCATTTTCAAAAGTGAGATAGCACTTTTAGAATCTAATTCCTATATTGCATTTAGACTTCCTGAGTGCCTGTCATATCCGAAATGGGACTTAATGTGCTTTTGAAATTCTTACCCAAGAATCTCAGTACAAATGCATTTTTTAAGATGACACATTGTGATTTAAAAGCTAGCAGTGGGTTAAATTCATTGAGGATGTAACTTCATTGACTTGTTGACTCCAGTGACTTCAAGGGAGTTGAACCAGAACTTAGACAAAACAATCTACAAGATCACTGCCAATTTGGCTTGACCTATACTGAAAGTAAACACCCATGATTTCAGAGGTTAAGGGGCAACAGAGCCATGAATACAGCTGCAATAAAATATATACATTTACATTCTAAAATACAATGAACACACGGTTTTGTGCACATCAATCTGCATCTGCTAGAGCTTGAAAATACACAGAATTTGTTTTATCAGGGGAGAAATTGGACGGCTCAGGGGAATAGAAAATAAGAGCCTCTCACCGACAGGTCTCCTGTTCAAATCTGTCCTAGCCAGTCGTAACAGATGGCCATTTCTGAAGGCTGTTCAGTAACTTATGAACTGAGGGACTGTCTCAGTCAGTCTCCTAGTGGACAACTTGTCCATGTCACAAACACATGCTGTTGGCATTTTTGGCAGATCCAGTGGAGAAGCAAAAGATGATATAGGCAGGTAACAACTACTCTCTACCTGATAAAAGGAGCTCCCGCCAGAAGAGGGTTGAATCAGATCAATGGGATCGTATGTAGGAAGATCATGCTGCAGCTGCCTTTGCGACACCTATTCTCAGAGTCTCAACATCTGAAGATTAGACAACTTAGTTCATGATTGCCTCCTGTGCTTTGTGCCTTGTAAGCAGGATCCTATGAATATTTACCAAGCTTCCCCTGGAAGATGCTTTGAGTTTGCTGACTAAAATCACCGGGGGAGGTAGAGACGAGGAAATTGAAGGATCCTCAGAACTCCAAGACCAGGAGGAGCCACACACATTCTCTCCTTGAAAACGGGAGAGAAAATTACTGTGATCTCAAGACCAACTATGGGAATAGTAAATGGTGCCATGATCAATTCTGAACAAATTCCAAGCTAATGTCCTTTCTCTGGGTCTCCCAGTGTCTCTGTGCTTTAGCCTGGGAGCTCTTGGGGCAAGGACTTTCTAACAGCATAGGGCACGCTGTCAGCACTTAATTGGTGTGGAATCCAAGACACCATGTGTACAGCTGTTATTTTGTAGAACATTCTAGTCTAGGAATAGCAGCTAGTGAGTAGCCTCCCTGGCAGAGAGGGCTATTTGAGAGTCCACAGAAGAAGAGTTATGTAGGATAGGAAGTTACCTCAAGAGTTATTTCTGCCCAGGAATAAATTAAGCCAAAGGAGTTCATTCTCAGTGGGGTGAGGATGGAGTCAAATTCAGATCTAGGCCCGCCCTTTACTGGAAAAGATCCAGGGGAAACTACTTTGGGAGCAATCGCTCTTTGCATCTCGTAATTTATTTCGCAGCTTCACACTGACTCAAAACCCCTTGTGCCCCCTCCACTGTGAGAAAGGGTTGCACAGTGACATCTGGAACTGCTCCAAGCACACTGCCCTCCTGACGGACTTGAGCAGCCAAGTAATTAGCACCCCTGTGCCATAGTAAAGCCCTATTTCCTGTCCAAGCGCGTTGCACGTGGAAGCCTGACCCCCAAGGGGAAGACAGGCTCCTGGGGAGGGGCTTGAGTGGCTGTGTCACGCAGCCACAGATAGAATGCGTAAAGGTGGGTGGGCAGCAGTAGAAGTCGCCGCCCCAAGCCTTGTGTTCTCATGCCAAAGTCTGCAGTGCGGAAAAATAGGCCGATTCCTCTTGCAATCTTCCTACACAGCTGGTTACTGCCTGCGGATTACTGCAGTCACATGAGCTGCTTTACAGCAAAGCCCAGCTGTCTTCATGAGCTGAGAAGGTCACTGGGAAGACACCCGGCTCAAGAGAGAAACATGCTGCCCTCCACCGGGCAGCTGAGGGCATGATTTGCTGC